CCCCCCCGGGCTACAGCAGCGCTGTGGGGGCGAGGTAACTCTCTGGCGGTTTTCGTAACGGCAGTGTGGCCCCAATGAGGGTCTTTGCTTTCCGGAGAATTAGGTTTTCTTTCTTCCTCCGCCGCCCCCGAAGCGTGAAGTCGTTGTCGGTTGTGTATAGCGTGGGCTCCCTGGTCCCAGGCACTGTCATGGCACCCACGGCCCTGTCAGGAGCAAGGAAGGAGGTGTGCCAGGTTGTCACCTATCACCTGGCGTTCGGCGGGTCATTGGTAATGAAAAATATGCATGGAGTGTCAGATTTTGCTTTATGGGACACTTTACTGTTCCCGCAGCTCTTTCTTTATAGTGGAGATGCCGTGGATGCAAAGGGGAACATTGTGTTTACAAAGAAGGATGTGAGATTTGTCGGTATTTCTTTTGTGACTTGGCACCAGTCCTCCGGAAATCGTGCGGGGCAGCGGGGGCAGCTGGTTCTGCCGTGCCAAGAGGGCAGAGGAGTTCATCCATCCATGTCCTGGTGCTCTGCATCATCACTTAGGTGTTCTGGGCTGCAGCTTCTGAGCACCTTGGCTGTGAGGATCAAGAGCTTTAACTGAAGTGGGAGCCAGTTTGCAGGATAGGTTTGTACTTGGTAAAGCTGGAAAAATAGTACCGATGTGTTCTGTACTAATTGCAGTTCCTCGGTCTCTTACAGACTAATGTGGAGGTACTTTTCAGACAGACCAGAACTATTGTAAAATCACAAGAAGGGTATAATTAAGGCAGGCTGTCATCAGGGATGGGACGGACTTGTCTAGCCAATTAGGGATGTAGACACTACTTCCCGTGAACAGAACTTGAGCAAAGAACTTAGGAGGCCTCCTGTATCAAACAGAGCTATTGTAAGAAAATGCACGTTTGAGCATGGAAGAGTAACTCTGAATCTCCTGGAGAAAAATCCTGTCTTTGGGAAACATTGTAGTGGAAATCATGTTCAGTAATAACTGAAGAAATTTGTGGCATCAGTCACCATGGCTGATAATTAAGATGTAAAAATAAGTTTAAAGTGAATGCAGATGAGCATCTGTTTGCTCCTAATGCTGTCAAGAGCCATGTTAAAAAAGAGCTCTTTTCTACAGCAGTCCTTCTCTGATTCAGAAGTTTTCTCGACCCACAAACTGCTCGGAGCTCTGCAGACAATCTCTGGTACCTACTAAGAGGCATTATCTTTTAAATTGAGTTCTCCTTGCCACTTGGGAAACAGTGACTAACAACATCTAACAGGTTATTTTGCATGCTGAAGGTGTCTGGCACATTAACAAACTGAGTATAACCATCAGTTATCTCATTTGGTTAGCTTGAAGGACTGCTGGTTACGTCTGGCAGACTTCTCGCACATCTTTTTGGTAAAAGCAAGTTCACCTTACTTGATACCACTGCACAGATTCATCATGTTGGTTTTGGATGGTAATTAACTCCTTCTGATGGGTTTTGGATGGTAATTAACTCCTTCCAATATGAATTGCTGTCTACGCTCTTTGTTAGTATGATCTGGAATCCTTTTTCCACCTAGCCCAGCTATGGTGCTGCCACATTCTTTTGGCTTCACGAGTTTCCTAGGGCGGTTGCTGGACTTTCCACTTGAATAACTGTTGCTGCATTTCTTTGTGTCAGTGAAATGAGTGGTGAAAAGATGTGTGCATCTCCCAGTTCTGCTGGGATGTGATGCTCACTGTACTGGAAGTTTGGTATATATTATAATTTTAATTATGCCAACTTCTCATTTGTTGTTTGAGATTTTGAAGCTCAAGCAGAAGTTTCTGGCTGCGCTATTTATATTCAGTCTAAAATATGCTGGCCTCTTACCAATGTTTGATTTTTCCCTGTACCCTGAAGTACTGCATAATCTTGTTAGTGGAGAGAGAAGGCCATATAATTATTGTGATTTTACAGATTGCTGGAGGTCTGATCTGTGCAGCACCATGGACTCGTCAGAAGAGACTGGAGGCTCCTCTGCAGAAGAAAACTACTTTGTGAACTACACCTTCACTGACCGCTCCCACTCAGGCCGTGTGGCCCAGGGTATTATGAAATTATGCTTGGAGGATGAGCTCTTTGCTGATGTTACAATATCAGTGGAAGGCAAAGAATTCCAGCTACACCGTTTGGTCCTCTCAGCTCAGAGTTGCTTTTTTCGTTCTATGTTCACTTCCAACCTAAAGGAGGCCCACAACCGGGTCATTGAGCTGCAGGACGTTAGCGAGAGTGTGTTTCAGCTCCTTGTGGACTATATTTACCATGGGACTGTAAAGCTGAGGGCAGAGGAGTTGCAGGAAACCTATGAAGTGGCAGACATGTACCAGCTGACTGCCCTTTTTGAAGAGTGCTCCCGTTTTCTGGCCCGTACAGTGCAGGTTAGGAACTGTCTGCAGGTCATGTGGTTGGCAGATCAACACAGTGACATGGAGCTCTACACAGCTGCCAAACACTGTGCAAAGTCACATTTGTCTCAACTGCAAGACACAGAGGAGTTCCTACACCTGCCTCTCCGCCTGCTGACGGACATCCTTACAGGTAAGGAGTTCTTGAGACTAGCCAGGTTGTGGATGTAGAAAGAGACTTTCAGAGAGTCTATCGGGGATTGAATAAAATAGATGGAAGAATCCAAGCTTTCATAACCACTGTCTATTCAGAGGCTTAGCTAAGCTAAGCAAAGCAAAACATTCTGGATAACTTAATCAGAAAAAAACCTATTAATTGTTACTGGACATAAAGCATCTGAGCTATAGAAAAGGGACATAGAGGATGCTGGTATTTCCCAGTAGTTCCTGGATCAACAGGTAGAAGTATTACACGTTTTTTTAAATGTAACTTAGTAACTTTCAACAACTTGTTGTGTTTTTGTTTGCAGTAAAAGTAAAAGAAAGAAGCCTTACCAGAAATGAACATCTTATGAAAGTTTTTTTTCTTTAGTTCATAATCATTTAACATAGTAATGCAACAACTCAACATTTGTAAGAAGGCTTGAGCACAAGCCATATTTTTAGACTATATTAAGTGTTTTTAACAATTGTATATAATTGTTAGGATTATTTAGGCTAGGCACTCATCTGACTGAAATAGAGGCATTGTAACATCTTAGGTAGTACAGTAATTACCCTTCTTGTAAAGGTAATAGCCTTCCACAGTAATGGATGCAATGACTCAGTGTTGTCAAGGATGTGTCAACACATCAACAAGTTAGTCCAACTGCCACCAATCCTTAAAGATTCTCTGCTGCCCTAGCAGGTGCAGCCAGTACTTGAAAACTTCTTCATGATGCTGCAGTCACAACTCCATTTTTGTGCATCATTCCTAGAGGAAGCAAGAATGTAGAAGAAGGTCATACATTCAAATGTGCTGGACCTGGGACCAGAGAGATTGCTCCTTTCTTGCTTTAATTAAATAATTTTGTAAATGACTAAATAACTATACTTTGTGTGTAATGTGTTTTATACTGTTACAGCAATAAACCTGCCATGACTGGCTTCTTTGGAATAATGGCAAATTTGTCTGTAAGACTTAAAATAGCTTCTAAAGTTGCTGCTATGCATATGAGAGTCTTTACAGATATTGCATTGTATTATCTCTATTGCATCTAAAGAAATTCACAGACAAAAACCTATTGAGAATATGTACTGATAGCTCAGAAAGACTATGATAAAATTAGAGTAATTTTGATAACTATCTAGCTAAAGCTTTTAAACCAAGTTGTGAGTTCATTAAAAAAACCCCAAATTCCTAAAATCATGAAATAAAGCTATAGAGGTCAATCACCCTTAACTTCCTAGGGATTCCATGTAGTAACCATAGTTTTAGGACTACGGCCATTAGTGTTTGTGGTCCTAAATTAAAATCATTGCTCAATAAAACTTTTTTCCATGCATCATCTATTTACATATATAGAATCACATTACTCAATATCTATGCTGAAACTTAGCTCATAAAACGGATTAAAATCTGAAATACACTCCTACTGCTGGTAGGGAAAATCTTTCCCTTTTGCAGTTCCTGCATCTCTATTTAGTTAATGGAGAATTAAATAGAGGAAGCTGTTAGTGGCAAGGATTAAAATTAATTTCATGAAATAGTAATTTGTTAAGCTTACCTTTTGTTGCACACTAGGACCCATTTCAAAATCAAAGTTTTTCCATTCAACCACTACCTGTGATGGATAGCTTATGGAAATCCCTTTTACTAATAAACAGTTTTGAAATACCTGCTTTTGTGCCACGCTTTTTCTCCTCCCTTCCTTTCAGTACAGAGAAAAATGTTGGAATTTGTCTGATGCCTTTAGCATCACTGAATTTGGGGTTTGTCATGAGAGCAGACTACAGAATCAGGGCACCTTCATAGGGAAGCCTCTCAATGAATATAGGTGTAATTGCTGGCTTTTAAACTGGAAGTAAATGCCTGAAATCTAGGAAATGTACTGATAACGATGATGCAATAGTTTGTGGCATAACCAAAACTTCTAATCGCATCTGGAAACAAACTGAAATCTGATGCAGTCTGTGGAGTGTTTCCTACTGTCACACTGCAAAGGAAAGCTATAGTAGCTCATTGGGGATTTCCAAAAGTTAAGAGGATAGCAGCGACACCAGATGTTCAGTCTTGAGGGTCAGCTGTCTGACAGTGCTCAGAGAAGGAAAATTTCTGCAGATGACTTTTGCTAGACAGGTTTCTAGGACCAGCCAGAAAGAAAGGCAGCTGCTGAGATTCTCAAATAAGAGAATCTTTTTGCCTAAATGCTTAAATAAGAAAATATTTTTCATCGTCACAAAGCATGTAAGTTCTCTTTTCTGCCCTCTTTCTCTTGGACATAGGTTCCTTTGTTGAAACTCATCCAAAGTGCTTAAGATCTGGCAGCTCTGTCTTCTGATATTTATACAAACTAATTTCATGTAGATGTCTGGCTGGCGGTGCTGATTATGCCTGCCAAAATCTATAAACCTCTCTATCTTTCTTCCCTCTCTAGAAAGTAGGGTTTGTGGTGGGAATGGGGGGAGGGAGTCACAGGAAAAGGATGTTCCTGAGTACGTACACCTTTGTCTAGATACTATAAATGCCTTTCTGTCTCCAAACCGCAGATGGCGTTCCATGTTCTCAGAATCCAACAGTTGCCATAGAAACCTGGATCAACTTCAACAAGGAGGAGCGAGCGGGCTTTTC